TCGTTTTGCTTGCTTTGAAAAGAGCAAAGAATCGAACTAAGACTGAGGCTGCAGCGAACGCTTAGACTGAGACTGAATAGTAGTGATGCTTTGTTTGTTTGCTTGTTTATGTGTTAGTTTGTGTGTGAGGTCAAAAGTGCGCGCAATCATTAATCTAAAATACATTTAATTGTATTTTTTATTTGATTTTTCTTTGAATATGTGTCTGTGTTACTTCTGCTTTTGCTGCCGCCGGTAGGGGTAAGAATGAAAACTTTAAATCATTTTATGAGTTGTTGTGTGTTTATTTATGCGAAAACAAATACATTCCATTACGTTGAAATCATTTAAAATGCGCACACAAACACACGTAACAAATGTGTTAAATTATGAAAAACATGCGAGAGCGCTTCCACCAGCATACATGCAGCACATAAGCTCACACTTTTTTCTTTCTTTTTTTTTCTTTTTTTTTAAATGTAATATAATTTTTGATCGCTTTTTTTATGCTGAGATTTTGTTCAATTAAAATTGCTGCTTACTATTCGTGATGATGGCACGCGCGCACAGATGGGCCGCGAGAAAAAACTTGTAGGAAACTTTTTACCGGCATAAGAATACATTGCAGTGAATTTTATTAAAATCAAGTAAGAAAATTTCATTCGTCTTTGAGCGATTTTTTTCTTTTTTTTCCCTTTTGCTGTAATATTTATCTTAATATACTAAAAAATACATTCTTATAAAAGTCAGTTTACTCCACTGTTAATAAAAGTTAACATTAAATATCGAATATCTTACACGAATATATATATATATATATATATATACAAGGTTCACGTGTCAGTAGCCCTATCGAGGCGCCTTTAGAGACAGAGGAATTCTTTTAAATATTTTTGGAAAATTTCAACTCGATAACTGCCTTTCGTAATATGTATATCAATAAAGCTGGTATGTGGGTAGACAACTCTTCCTCCAAGTCGATCTATAAACATGTACTCATCACACATGAGCTAATTTTTAGTACTTTATGCAAATATTTGACTCATAAGAGCTTCAACAATAATCCGATGGATGGACAGACGGGTCTCTTTGGAGCCCAAAACTAAATAAAAATACCTGCGTGCTTATAAAACAACAAAAATAGTATAGAGAGAGGGATTCGCGGTTTGTGCGCCTATAGCCATCATGGTAATCGCTTTTTAGAAACTTCCAAGTTCTTCCGTCACTTCCTTCCATGTTGTATATAAGAAACCCTATTACACTCAACTCAACATTTAAGGAAATTTTCGGGTACAAAAATAAAAAAGGACCCGAATCAAGTCTTAGAAAGGTTCTTCCATCTATTATTCTTACAATTGGAATGATGAGGTACCGTTCTTGAAGCTGGGCTATCGAGAGAGTAAACATTTTAAGTGTGTGTTTTCTGCTTGCCATTGTGACCTTATTTTAATTACCAAATGGTGTTCTACCATGGTTCGTTGCGTTCTATAAGGCGGAAAGATGTTTACCTCAATAACGTTCGGAAACTATTCAAATATTTGATCGAAATAATTGTTCTCGTATTCGAAGCTTTCTAAGAAAGTCACCTTCTCAAGCTAGGCGAGAATGACTGGAAAGGACTCATGTCTCAACTGGCAACACTGTCTTCAATAACATGAGCCTACTTGCCACACAATATGTCATGCAGTCGATTTATTGTGTGATTGATGGTAACTTCCAAGTACTCCGTTGGTGAATGGCCTACAAGCAGCAGTGATTTCATTCGCTTGGACTATTCCTCAAGGAGTTGTTTGAGCGCGTTGGTCGTTGTATATTAAAAAACGAATATTGAGTGGGCTTTTAGAGTAAGTTTGGACCCGAATTAGTGAAAAAAATGACTTGAAAATTGGGTTCATAGCGTCCGTTTCTGTTAGAAACGCCTTGGTGGCCTAAACCTAGTTGCATCGGGTGTACTTCAAGCAAACACAAAATTTTTTTTACTTTTTTACTTACATGAGTATATTAAGTTTGTGTCATACTCCGAAAGATCTCAGAATTACTTTCTCAGTCGATTTGAGCTTGGCTGCCCTACCTGCCGACCTAAATGTCGTAATTTTTGAGATATTTAGATGAAGAGCTGTTTGGACGAGCGCTATTGAAGATGGCTAGGATCATAAAAGTCCTTGTATGAATAATAAGTGTATGAAAATGTAGTTTTATTAAAGCATTTGAAACAGTCTGATCGGATAACATTTTACAAGCTTAAGAAGAAATGCGTTTGACTTTTGTCTACCTTTGCCAAATAAATTTTACTAGAGTTTGGTATGAAAGGTAGATGAAATGCTTGCAATTTGCTTTTCAAAAATATACCCATATATACTTCCATACATAAATAACCAGCAAGACTTGGAAGTGGCAAAAGATATCTGGGCATTGTTATGTTTGTTGACTGGCTTATCGCTAGTATATTCATTCGCTTATAGCTCTATTCATTAAGTAAATTATTAATGTACTTAACGAAACTATTAAAGCAGTTTATTAAAGAAATTCAATCCGCTAGTAAATGCTTTAACCTTTTCCTATTACGGGTAGAAGCCACATTTCTTGCAATAATCCGCTCTTACACTTGCTCTCGCACTCTTACGAACAATGACAGATGAAAACTTTCTTCAACAATGTAAAGAATAAATTTTATTGAAAAAAAATAACGATTGTCATCTTAAGGTTTTTTTTGGTGCGAAAAATGCATCAACGTTTCAACTGCTCTGATGCAAGCATCAGAGATTTCTTATTAGTATTCCAAACCGTGCTAAGAAAACCGCTGATGCGTTAGCTTGTGTTTACCATTTAAGAGCAAGCAAGCAACTTTATTTTTAATATTCATCTTATTATATTTAATTAATTTCTAAGTCTTTAATCATTATTTATGATTGCATGATGCCTAACCATATACGTGGCTACTCATAACTATAGAAATTCTACCAATGCATTTGCTTTGCAGTTAACAAAAAAAAATATAAAGATTTTTTTTCAGAATTTCCTTAATTTATAATAATAATTAAAATTAATTTCTTAATGTAAAGGCGCCATAATTTTGTAATTCTCCATATTCGGAGCTTTGCCCAAAAGCAGGGAAAAAAACATTTTTTACTCAACTAACCATAAAAGGTGGTCGGGCAGGCGGTTTTTTCAACTTATTATTATTTCAAATATTTAATGTTTGTGATTTATAAGCCGATTGCTGCAGCTGCTGCCAATATTGAAGTCGGTTGTACGTTATCATAAAAAAAAAAATGTGGCGATATATATATATATATATATATATGTATACATATAAATGTTTCCATATGTTTTAGTTCAACTAAAATCGTTCAGTTAATAATATTTTACAGGTACAATTTTTTTTTTGTCATCCACGGTCGGGTGTATTAATGTTTATTGAGCAAGTTCATTCGAGCTGAAAACCCATTTTTCATATCTGACTTGATCTGACTATCTCAACTTTTGATTCAAATCATCGTGTTGCGCAAGTACTAGGTGTATAAGCAAGTCCTCATCAATGTTTTCGCATGAGGTGACTTTCCTCTCTAGTGAGAATTTTTTAGCTTGTTCGTTTGTATCGAGTTTATAGGGTTTAGACATAAAAAAATCTTAAGGAAAAGCTGGTTTCTATCGCGGTAGGGCGCTCTCCCTAAGCAACGCTACGGGAATTAAGAAGAACTTGGAAAACTTTTCGACGTGCAATTGGCAAAGGATAAGGGTGGACTTTGTAAATTACCAGAAAAGTTGCGGTATAAGCACCGAAGGACTCGACTTTTGCATAAGATTTCTTGAAATCAATACTTTTTTTTTCTATTAAAGAGAACCCGTAAAGAGTTTCAAACGTTTAAGAAAAAGTTATGCGACATTGCGTCCACGAGCTTCTAGGTAACAATCAATGTAAAGAATTGAAAGAATTCTTTGAAGATCTTAAATTTGCATACAATAATTCTTTAGAAACGAAGAGGTTGGTGACACAGTGTCTTCCGAATAACATTATTCTTATAGCGCTTACTTTGCCGTACTCCAAATCGGTCCCCCACTTTTTTATCGAAAAAAACAGCTACAAAAAAAACTTTCAAACTTCATTCAATATTTTGTGAGGAGCGTGGAATTTTTGACGAGAATCTCAAAAGAACATCAATCAGACTGATGTTTAGTCTGTAAAATCGCATGCATTTAACCAATCAAAAGTATCTTTCGTGCTTCACTAAGTAATGTTAGTACTATCGGTTAAGCGTTGCAATCAGTAGGGATACGAACAGCTTGAAAGACATAACTTGGAGGAAAATGTTTTTAAAGACTTAACAAGTTACGGTGCTGAAAAGGATATGACAAGGTCCCATGTAAAGTTAGATTCAGGTTGAAATCAAAGAAATGTTTTTCTCCGTCTAGTAGAAGGCAGGACCTGAGAACTTTAAAGTTAATTGCTAGTATCCCAGCAAGTTTTATGAATGAAGCAAAGTGCAAATGCCTTTTCAGGTGTAGCAATACTGCCTCGTCAATAATTTTGAATCATGACATTATAAAAAAATTCGACTTTTTGACTCATACATTTACTACTGATAATGATGGTTTTATTGTTTGCAGATTTGATTTCATTAAAGCACACATAAGATCACCTCGGAAGAGGTGTCGCTTTCATACGCTATTCTTGAGTTTGTGTCATTTGCCGCGAGCACGAATAGCTTGGAATCCAGTCCAAGGGTAGATCTAAATTTAGGGGGAAATAGTAAGCTAAATTAAATTGCAATCAACTGATCGACGCCGTCATTATAAGAGTAAAGTGTTCAGCTTTTCTCTACAGGTGGTGGAGATTTAAGCCGAAAAACGTTTACTTAGTTAAAAGGCTTGGCTCGAAGACCAGTTGAAAGGGTTTTTTTTTTTTATTTAAAAGACAGAGGTTGTTTAAACATGTTTCAAAAGTATCAAATCAAGTATCTTGAGAATATATTGAAATTTAGGTGAGGCATTAATGTTTTCTTTTTAAATCTCTTTTGCAGAAATTGCCCGTGTACGCGCTTCACTGTTTCAAATAAATGGTGTAAAAAAAGAACCTTTACAGTTGCCTGAGCCTGAAGGACCTGCAGTCTCCTTAAATGAAAAAGTCTATGTACCTGTGCGGGAACATCCAGATGTAAGTCTTCTTCTTTTCTTTTGCTTTTCTGCAAAATATTTAAACAAAAGAAAGCTTTCATACAATAGTTAATAAGTTAATTGTAATAAAAGTTGAGTTTTTTTCTTTCGCTTTGATGATATTCATTCATTAATACGCTCGATACAGTTTCGTTTAATTAAAAATGACAACCTTCGTTTCTTCCTTCGCAGATTAATTCAGTTAACAATGTGTGCGAGCGACTGACTGACTGACTGACTGACTGACTGAGTGGCTGAGACCGTTGTCGTCGTTTTGAATGCTTTTAATGAAATAAAAGATAAACGTTTTTCTATTGCTGAGTTCATATATTTTTCTGTTGCTGTTGTTGCTTTTCTAAAACTCATTGAATATATAGTACAACCGGAAATCACTTTAAGGTGTGTCATCCGTTAGTTCATTTAATGTTTTTTTTTCTTTTTTCTTTCTATTAAAAATAATGATTGTTTCTTATAATTCTGAATTAATAGAAAGAAAAGAAAAAAAAGATACTTGCGTTACTGCTGTTGTTGCTGTTGTCTCTAAGCCTTAAATTCTAAGCACTCCAAGCCGTCATTTATTAAGAAGACGTGCAACCATTTTTCTAAAAACATTGTCTAATTGTTTTCTTCTGTTCAAGTTTTCGTTCTCTAAAGAGTGGTGTCTGCTATTGATTCGTTTAATTATGCTTAACTTGGCATTTGTTTGCAATTAATCATTTTTCTTAACGAGCCATGAAACGAAAAAGTTTAGTTGAAACAAGAAATATATGAGAGATAAAGTAGCTCAAGTAATAATAACTCAACTAAAGACAATAACTCTTTTTAATGTTTTTAATGCAAGCAAAAGCGCAAAGATTCCTGTGTAGATTCAATTGATACATTTATTTATTAATTGTGTGTACGTTGATGCTTATATATATATATATATATATATATATATATATATATTACACAACAATTAAATGTAATAGACGACATGTGCTGTGCCACATATGAGAGAGTTGCGGTTATTGTTGTAATCTTCTCAAGCTCAAGTTATTCATTTACTGCTGACGGCAACGATGTATACTTATATCAGACTTGGCTTCCCAATCTTTAGGCTCCTCAAGATTTTCAACGTTATTAAACAAATGTTTGATAGAAGCGAATTCTCTTTTTTTTTCCTGTCAGAAATTTCACTTTTTTGAACAATGAGCTACGATCGCAAATCTCAATCATTTTCGCTTAAAGCTATCGGTGTTCATTAAGTGATTAGCTTCGACCTATTTACATATGAGTTTTGTTGTTTGCATAGCAAGTGATGATTAATGCAAACTAGGGAAGGAAAATAGTTCATACTCTCAGCTAGAGCCGCTAGCGCTGAGTTCGTATTCATTCATGTAGTTGCCCAGCGTATGAGAATTTTTCTTTCTTCACCGAAGGATGAGAGGCGTCGTCCCACCACCGTGGACACAGCCGCCTCGCCGTCTGTCCGTTTAAAAATATGTATTGCAAACATTCTCACGACCGGAAAAATTAAGCTATCGACTTCAAATTTGGCAGAAATAAGGGAAGCTCTTGCATGTGGGTGTGGTATTAGAAACGGGCCATGTTAGTTAAAGCACGCACAAAATGGAGACAATCGGCCACACCTAGTCTATATTGTAGCGTGTCAGAATAAATTCATGTTTTCTCGGGCAAATTCTCGGGCAATTTCAAATTTTAAACGCACATGTCCGTCTGTTCGTCTGCCAATCTACGGTAAACATTCTCCCGTTTGTAGGCAAGTTGATATCGCCTACAAATTTGCAAAAGCATTCGAAAATAAACAAAGAAATCAGAAGACACGTCCACAACCCCAACAAGAGTTTTGTTTTTTGGTTGCTACTCAGAAACTACAACAAGTACATGCAATCATACATAAATCGCTCAATATATATATAGAGCATGAAAATTTGTTTTTTTTTTTTTGTTTTTGTTTTTGGGATCATGGTGATAGATATAAAATATTCGGCCAAGACCGAATATAATTTTCTGGCTTGAGAAAGCAAGAATCGTAATTTTTGATTTAATTTCACCTGAAAGCACAAATCATCCTGAATATACTCCTGAATATCACTCAAATCCTCATCGAGTTTATAGCGGAGGTTTAGCTGAAACTTCGTACTGAAGTATTTCCAACATCTACGTTACATGCTTGGTTTAATTTCTCATACATTTCACGGTACATAATAAAAACAATCAGCTGTGTGAATTTATATATGGTAACGCCTTTAAAAACATATGGTTTTACAGATCGTTAATTAAATCAAATCTTTGAGAATATATATTAAATTTTGGGCCTAATGTTTTCAAAATTGTTCACTTCCACTTGTTTGCTTCAACAAGAGCGTTAACAACATATATATTTAAAGAAACGGCCAATGGATAAAGTTTTCTCAGCAATAACAACTGTCTTGCTTACGGCAGATTAGACATGGGTGATTGAGTGATTGAACGCAACGCGACTATGTGTCCATTTTCGATAAGATATGAAGACAATTAATTATAATTTAATCGACTGTGCTTTAATCGCCGACTGTACACCTTGCTCTTCGTGGATACATAGTTTTCATTAAATCATAAACAAGGTGAGAATTAGTTGTAAAGAATCCAATAAAACATTTATTGCATTATAATCGCATAAAAATTTACGGCTGGCCTTGGATTGCGCTTGGACTTTTAATAGCTTAATAAATCATTGAAACAATGTTTACGTTTTAATTGAAATTGCATAGACAAAAGCTCTCCCTAAAGAGGAATTCGTTTGGGGAACGCTGCATTACGGTTAAGCCTTCTAACGAACAATGATAATAGCAAGAAAATCGAGAAATTTATACTTAAAAAAGAAAACAAAAAAAGTAATAATAAAATAAAATAATTCTAAATAGTGGTTTTTGTTCGTTTGTGGCAGGGACGTTTGCCATATGTTCACAAAAAATTAAACTATAAACAGAAAGCAATGCAAGTGTAGACATTTAAGCATACAGATCTCTGTGCGTGTATGCATACACATGACATTCATAAACATAAAATGCCAATTTGTTGTTGTTGCTTCTCTTATATTTATATATAAATTCCAGCACGCAAACAAATTAAATGGGATTTTATAATACATTTTCAACTACTTGAACAGAATAAAATATGAACATAAAAAGGGGAAAAAAGGCGAAAGAAAAAATCTCGCGAATATAAATTTGTTTAACTGCAATATATCTACAAGTGCGAGTACAGTCATTGATTTTTATCTAAAACTCATTTAGAGAAATTCATACAGTTTCGGAATACGAATTACGCGTAGTTTCACAGATCTCAACTCATACAGATTCCCGTCTAGAGGATAGACACATGTCATCGCTCTATTTGCACCTCTATTCGATAGCATACATTTTGTCTTTTTCTTTTTTACCAGATTTTGTGAACTTTTAGGCCGATCCACAAATCCAGGTTGCTGAATCGAGAATTTTGAAATTGTTACGTTTTCGTGTAGCTAGTAACGAGCGTTTGGTGGTGCGATTTTTCCGTTGTCAAGTCAAGTGAATGTATCCGCAATACCCAGAAGGAGGCTTCTGTGACTATAAGGTATACAGTCAGGTCTGAAGCCAATTTGGCATGTCCATGCGTTTGTTCGTATGTCCATCTGTGGCAAAAATTGACCTTAGTTTCAGTCAGTATCAATTCCTGAATCCAATTGGGAATGTCCGTCCCTCCGTTTATTTGCTTTTCTATGGTAAAAAATTGCCTTGGCCCCAGAAGCTACGATCTAAGCTTTACATTTTGCAAAGGTCTCAAAAACTGTCTACCTGCAGACTGACAGGTCAAAGTACATGCCTACAGTATATCAAAAGTTTGGTGTTTTACGCATGACTCTTAGGTGGACACCACAGCAAAGAATTTCCACGCGCCGTACTGTGGACTATTCTGCACTCTGCAAACAATGCGAAAACTCGGCCACGCGCATCCATTATTGCAGAATATGGATATTTTAATTTTTTTTTGTTTTTGTTTTTAATTTAACGGCGGTGGCAGTACAAAATTCTCTTAGTTACTTTAAAGTTATATTAATTGTAGAGTGTGCGTTTGCAAATTCTCAAATTTGATCTGTAAAATTAAAACAACAAAATAGGTCTGGGGCTGGAGCTCTTGTTGTTCCGTTTTCGAAAGTAGGAAAATTTTCAAAGCACACGATCAGAAAACCGATATTGCTAAATATAGTTGAAATTAAGCAGTAATCAAATCAAGCTGATATTATTTCCTTTTTGAAAGATGTTTTTGAAGGCTGCAAGCGAAATCAAAAGTTACTGAAACTTCTTAGGGCGTCCCCTTTCGTTTATGCCGAGAAGGAAAATTGTTTAAAACGTTATTAATATTTCACTTAGCGCTTTTAATTAACGATTGTTTATAAAATCAAACAAAACAATACGTTGTTGATATTGTCCAACTGTTGTGTATGTTAGATCAACAGAAATGTATAAATATTAGGTTTACTAGAAACGATATTTGATTTCTTCTTCTAAGGTCATCGTGTAATTTTATCATAGCGCAAATTGCAAATTAAAAGCAAATATAGGCTCTTAAAAGAAAAAATAAAAAATCGAAAGAAAATTTTTATTAATTGCAATAAACAGTTTGCGCTTTATTTTTTTTCATTTTTTTTTTTTTTTTTTTTTTTTTTTTTTGCTGTTGATAATTTGCAAACAAAGTCTTAAATATTAATTAATTATTTAATTAAGAAGCTTTTGTCTTAAGCAAATAGGCAGTTAATAGGTTTATTCTAAGCATTTGCTAAGAATGCGCTTCAATTAAAACAGTCTAAACATATGTACTTTCGCTGTTTGAACACGAAGAGTACCTAGCAGCAATCAGGGAACCGACTACAGTTTAAATACGCATTACAGAGCGCTTACGTAGATCATAATCAATAACATTCCCCGCTTTCCACATGTTTCGAAAATTTTTTAGAAGAAGAAGAAGAATAAAAAA